TGTGTCCTTATGCAGGCACGGGTGTTAGCATAGTCACCAAGGTGACTGCCATGGTGATCATGGGCACACACCTTCTGGAAGAATGTTGAATGATGGCACGTTTGGAGGTGAGGGGCCTGGCTGAGAGGCTGGATTGGGGCCAGGTAAAGAGCCTCCTGCCCTCCTTGGAAGTTCTTATTCTTGGTGGCAGGGAGAAGGAAGATGCCCGAGTTGAAAGCCAAGCTCAACCTCTCTGTTCCCCAGTGTTCTCATCTGCAAATGGCAGCAGTGCTGCCCACCCCACCCAGCTGTCAGCACGGTTTAATGAGCTGATCCTTGCCAAGCACTGATGTGATTTCATTCATTATTGTTTCCTCAATTTTTTATTTTGGAAAATTTGAAATCTCCAAAACGTTGAAAGGATAGGACAATCAATGTCCGTATGCCTCTGTTTTATTAGTCTGCTTGGGCTGTCATCACAAAACACCACAGTCTGGGTGACTTTAACATCGGGGTCCCAGCAGGGCTGGATTCTGGAGAGGGCTCTGCCAGCTAGGGAGGCGCTTCCCGGCTCACACAGCCTTCCCTCTGTGCCCAGGACTTCCAGTGTCTTCCGTCTTATAAGGACACCCTTCTCATTGGATTAGGTCCCCAACTCTAGGACCTAGTTTAATTTTTGCCTCCTAAAGCCCTGTCACATGGCAGTCACGTTGGGGACTAGGATGTCAACATGTGGGCATTGAGGGACAGACGGTTCAGTCCATAGAACACATTTTTACATTTTAATAGGATCGTACTTCTCCCTCCCTTTCTGTGCCTCCCTCACATACGAATGCATGTGTGCTGTCTTGCACGGAAACCTGGAATTTGGGCAGTGAACACAGAGAATAGACTCCTTCCTCTGGCCATGTCCAGAACACTGCAGGTCCAGGTGTGTGTGAATGTGCGTATGTGTAACAGATGGTTACAAAAAGACTCCACGCCGTTCCTTCGCTATTTTCCTCCTTATGAAAACTTGAAAGAAAAGGATAATGGCTATAGAAACACTATTATGCATTGAGCAATTTCTCCTGAAACCAGAAAATATTTAATCATAGCAAGTGTATAGAGTCACAGCTATGTACAAATAATAAAAATTATACCCCTAAGAGACTGTACAGGAAAAAATAAAAGAAAAAGAAAAAAATCCATAGAACACAAAGTGCCAAGCACGTTGGATATTTTTTCCTGTTTTCCAAATTTCGTATTGTGTATGTTATTTATAAAATAATTATTTTAAAATTATTATTATTTTTATAATTAGTTACTTGTGATTGAACCCAGGGTGTTTAACCACTGAACACATTCCCAGCCCTATTTTGTATATTATTTAGAGA